ATATTGTATAATACTGGATAAGTATTATTTTGTAATTAACTCAAACCATTGTGTATTTAACTTGAATCATTGTGGATTTAACTCGGATTTTGCTACAATAGGCTCCGTTCTTAACTATGGGTCGTCTTTAAACCGGGCATTCTTAACTCAGGGACTACCTGTATTCATTCTTATCATTTCTATGCAGTCATTAAGTTGCTTTTAGTATAAAGATTTAAGCTAATTTCCATACTTGATGTATCTAGCAAATTTCCTTTGAGAGTATCTTAATGTTGGCTTATACAAGCTTTCACAAATCCCAAGTGAATTTAAATCTACCCAAGCTAACCAGCCATGACTACTTAAGCCTCCACATGGCTTAGGTTTCTCTGTCCCTTTCTCTTTCTGCTCCACCAAAAAGGGGGGGGGGAGTTTTAAATCACAAGGCAAAACTTCTGAAAGAGTTTTGAAGGATTACTTCTTTGGAAACTGCCAAGAATTCAGACAGGTATATGCAATCATTTCCACTGCAAGATCACTGTTAAGATATAGGCTGCATTAAAGGAGGTGAATATCCTGGTATGTATCCACTCCCAGTTTTCAGGACAGATGCGAGTTCTTTCTTCCCTTCTTCATGTTCTGCCAATACCCCCTTGATTATTAAGTACTCCTACTGAATGTATCTTTTTTTTAAACTGCCTTAATACAACAAAGAAAAACAGAACATATAAATAGAGCAAAAAAGAAAAAAAAAGAATTAAAATAAAATACAATAATTATAAAGTAATTCAGGTCAACTGAACATTGGCCACACGGGGCCATATTATCCAGTCCTTCCGTTGTATCAATCAAGAGTCTACTGCAAACTAAGAATGCCTCCATACCACCAAGCCCACCTTTGGTAACATTATATCATTATTCATTAATAACTTAATAAATTCTTCAATTTATTCTTCAATTTATTTTAGTTCATAAATTTGTGACTCAACATATTTCAATTCATAAATTCAAAATTCTTCATAGATTCCAAAACTGTGAAATACATTTCAGCAACATATTGACATCTTTAAATCTTAGCTCCCTTCTTAAAACTTGATTCACAGTATTACGAATTAAATCAAGAGAAAACCATCAGAAAGCTATTCAACAGGTTTGATGGCAATAACCCATTTCAGGTTGAACAGCCCCTAAGTTGCTATTTCCCTGTGTTGCAGTCACCCATATTCAACTGAAAGCATTTTTTTTTCTTTGCTCCATATTTATAAGGCAACGAAACAAGAATTTCATTGCCATAACCTGTGGCAACAGTATCGTAGTAGTCTTTAACATGATGTGCCATGCAAAGTAGAAACAGAAAAAGCTACAACTATATTAATGGAAGACATGCTAGTGCTTCAAATGCCACACCAGGAAAAAGAAGGCAGACAAATTTAGTCTTCAGACCCAATATTTCCAATCTCTGATATCAAAAAAAAAACAAAGCACTGCCATATTTAAATTCATTAGGTATTTTCAAGTGAGTAGCATCCAGATCTGGTGACTTGCTAATTTACAGGGTCACTTCAGTCTTGGTTGTCTGTATTTGATATATGGGTCCTCACATGCAAAATGGATTTCAGAGCCCTCTCTATATACATTACGCCTTTGTCATCTCTTCCCTGCCAGGTTTCTAACTTGTGATATAAAGCATTACAGGGAATCCTCATTTAGCGACCACAACTGGGACTGGCAACTCGGCTGTTAAGTGAAGCAGTCACTAAGTGAAACCAGAACTGTTCTTATGATTTTACTTCAGCTTTCCTTTGCTTGATGGACCTGCAAAGGTTGTAAATGCAAGGATTGGTCACAAAGTTACTTTTTCATTCACCGCTGTAAGTGCAAACAGTCACTGTCCAAGGCAGTTGCTAAACAAGGACTACCTGTATTTATTACTTGCTGTTATGCCTTAAACTATTTCCCTCCATTTTTCTTTTCTTTTTTTTCTTTTCAATTTCTACTTTTTTCCCCCAACCACCCTCCAAAAATAAGCAATCGTTTCTTCTTTTCAAAGAAAACTATGACTACTTTTTCAACTGGAAACTACACCTATCCAAGAGAAATCCTACCACAAAGAGAAGAAGGAAGGTAGAGAATAGCACTTTCTATTTTCAGTATGTGAAACACTATTCCAGGGACGGAACGTGCCAGTTTAATTCTGAATCATACTTATCCAGCCATTCTAGAGCTGGCCTGGTAGTATTCCAGAAGTAAACTTCCTTGGCCAGGAAGAAGTCTGTGGCGTCCCAGACATTCTCCCCACAACAGTGAATTTTCCAAGGCTTGGTGTTTTGTACCCAATGACACACAACTAACTGTATATTGCTAAGGCTACAGTTTGTAGGGTTAACTTTGTTGTGAGGATAACACACTGCTATTCTGAACACTGATTCTCTATCAATATTCAGAATAAGAGAACTATTCCCCAGATCACCTTCTGGGGATCAAGCTCTACTGGATGTGGCCGGTTGTACCACAGGCCCCAATCCCTCGAAACCAACCTACCTGATGCCAGCACTCGGAAAGCTTTAGCGACTCCTCCCCACGGAGCTCCTAAGGACACAAAGTCCCTGATGTATTTGTCTTTCCATTCCTGTGGCTGATGGCTGAGGAAGTACAGAGAATACATATTTCCCATGCTGTGAGCAATTAAGACCACCGGTTCGCCATACTCTTCATACATTATCTCGATCAACTTCTGGAGAGCCCCAAAATAGTCTCCATTCTCATCTACAAGGATTAAGACACAGAAATTATTCAACGGAATGAAGGAATTATCTTTACTTTGTTTAAAAACTTTGTTGCCTTGTTAATGGATATCAACTTTCCGACTGGCTATTTTTCAAGCTGAATTTATTGAAAGAATGCAGTAATAATTAATGGCCTAGTGCTTTGTTTCAGGATGGCCTTATACATTATAAACAAGTTCTGGCTAAGGAAATGTACGACAAACACTTCCAGGTATTGGGCTCAAGATGTGAATTGGTACTTGCTAACTAAGTAATTCCTTTTAATTTGGGAGATGTATATACCCTCAAGATGTGAGACTGAATTATCATTCTAAGAAATGTATTAAAGTTTAGATACCCTAAATGTAGGAATTCTTTGCCACCTTCTCATACTTTCTAAAGAACAAAAATATTCCTAGGGTTGATCTCATGATTTGAGGATAAGATATTGTACAGTAATTTAATTTATTTATTTATTGGATTTCTGCCCTGCCCATCTCTCCCCAATGGGGGACTCTGGGCGACACACCCAGAAAAAATTATTTTGACTTCATGAAACATATGTGCTCTAGCACATTTCCAGGGAGGCCCCAAAGCTAATCTGTTTTTAACAATATTTATAAAACTATGAAGACATACTTGCATTTCATCTTCTGATATAATCCCAGAATAAGGACTAAGTTTGGGTAAGACTCCAATGCTTTGCATATTTTCTAGCACTCCTTCAATGACTAACAATCACAGAATTGAAACCTGAAATTTTTGATAAACATTAAATCTGAAAGTTAATGCTGTCTTTTTTAAAACTGGAAAGTTTTTATTCTTTACATGAATGCCTCTAACGAATTTAGCATTAAAGTCCAAAAGTTTGAGCTTAGTGTGAACAATGTCTATTTTAAAAATAATAACCACTATTTATATTTTTATACCTTATAGATGATTTCTTTAGTTCTGCATTTAAAAATCCCTTTCTCCTTGCTTGTTGGATGGATATTTTAAACCATGAATTGTTAATTTTTGTTAGCTCTGCACATTCTTTTCATTATTCTTATGATTCCATTATGCTTGTTTAAAACTGCAACAATTTACACACAAAAACTGACCGACTTTTGTCAATGTACTCCATTTCCTAAACGTTTCCACCTGAAGTTCATAATTCAAGGTAAAAACTCATATGGCAACATAGATATATATTCTGAGCTTGGGTTAAAAAAGGTTGCTTTTTTAAATAAAAAGTGAGCAGTTCATGTAATCTGGCATAAACAAACAGCAAAAAACATGAGTTTGTTCAAACACAAATATACACCTGTCTTCTGCATACTTGAGGATTAACAGCAGACTATGTAAAACAATTTTACAGAGGATCACAGGCACTTCCCCTGCCAGGGTAATTTAATCATGTTGCAATTTCTTCAACCCTTTTTATCAATCGCTCTCTAGTACTTAAGCAGACATAAGTTTCTTGCAGCCTCAGACCAGTGAAGCGAGGTCACTAAGACCGATGGGCCAACAGCCTCGTGACATTCGGTTGCATCAGGGGGTAAACACTTCAAGCCATCAAGAATGCTTGCATGGAGTTCTGAGGATCTCAGATTCCTAACTTGTTTTTAAGGGAACAGCGTTAACCGACCAGAAGGATCTGGATGCCTGAAGAACTTGGAAGGAGCCAGATAGCACCTTGCAAATTAAAAGGCAGATGCTTTTGTGAGCTGCGGCCCATTTCATCAGAGGCATCTCATGAAGTGAGCTATAGTTCACAAAAAGCATGTGCCTTTTAATAAAACGTGTTAGCTGGAAAAGATGCTACTCAAGCCCCCTTCGATTTTTGGCTATCGTACACTAACACGGCAATCCTCCTGGACATCTGAAGCAGTTGGAAAGCTTCTAAGCAGCATATCAGCTTCAACTTCTTTTGAAATCTAACCCTCACATTTCCGTTTTTTTACAAAGATATGTAAAGGAAGCAGCCCTTTGCAAGAATGAAAGGATGTCCCCCTTCCCCCTACTGGGGAAGCTGTTGGGTTTTTTTATTTTTTAGTTCATTAGCGGTCAATGGTTGAAAATAAAACCCTGACAGGCAACAACATTAAAACCCCAAATACAGCTGCAGAGCCGGCCAAATGCTGAAGAATGCCAACCCAGCAAAAACAGCATCCGTCATCTGCCAACAGGACATCTTCAGCAATGTGCTGCGTTTGGTTTTAGGGAGACAAATTACATAGGCTTCCAAAAGGGGTGGGAGAGGGGAGAGATGAACTTCACAAAGAAGAGATCCTAGTTTAATGCTAAAACCAATGTTTCTTAGATGGAAAGTGGCAAAGTTGAGCCTTTGGTTCACTGCGTTCAGAGGGTTTAGGTATGCCACGCATAAAAAAACACATGGAGCTTTTGATCGTGATTTTTTGGAGCATGACCTGAGGATACCCTGTCACTGTATAATCACTACCTCCCCCCCCCCACTGATTGATTTTTTTTTGTATTTCAGCTAAAAAAAAATAAAGGTTTGAAATCAAAGAGATTGGTCCATTGAAGAAATGTCTGCCAGAGGAGAGAGACACAACCACATCAAAAACAGAGATTTACCAAAATATTACCAACCTATTTCACATCCCCCTACCTGCACAGGACACGTTACTCTCCCTGGTGACATGTGTCCATTTTGGGGGGAAATGGGACATTTCTAAACAAAGTCCATCCATAACCTTTATTTTCTGCGCAAACTTATAAGACCACCTGAGATCTGGAAGTTTCCTTGGAAAAATTTATTTCAGAAGATGGTGTTTTGCTTTATACCATAGTAGCTTTCTTAATTTAAGAGCCCAAATCCTTATAATAATGAATTTCATACTTGGTGCCTTCCGCCAGTCATAGGGTGCGCCTCTAATATTTTCATCTCGTTGGTAGCCCAGCTCTACTAGGTTTTGCACCAGCGTGTAAAAGTACGTGCCTGTGGACAAAAAGAGCATCTGTGGGTCTGCAAAAGTTCAGTTAAGAATCTTCCCTTTGCACAGAGTGATAGTATACACAGAGATTCTTCTGCAGCCAAGTCTCATACCTTGATTTTCAAGACAGAGAGCAATAACATGAGTTAATTTGCTCAAACAAATTTGCTCCAACCTGATATCACCCCGGATGATTGGACTTTAGCTCTTGTTCTACCCAGCATAACCATTTCTAAGCAAAAACTAAGCGTTTCCAGTTTTCAACTAAAATACAAATGATCACCAAATACATCTCAGATGTATGCACTGTATATCCTTGTGGATAAGCCCATCCGTGGATAAGCTGACCCTCCAATTTTTAAACAAAATACCATGAAAAATGCACCAATGCTTGAAATTTTCGTATGTTTTAATTTTCACAATTAAAACGTATATACTCACGGCTTATCCATGAGTATATACGGTAAGCATTCTTGCTATATGACAGAAATTATTCCACTACAAACAGATCTTAAAGCAGGGAAGAAATGTATCCTTCTATTTGCATTCCCTGGGATAACAGCCTTTAAACATTCTCTCCATGGAATTCAAGACTGAAAAGCAAATTGTTGCCTCTTTCGCGTTACTTATTTTTTCGTTTATTTATGAACCAGATTTGTGTGCTGCCCGATTCCCAATGACTCTTGGCGGCTGTATGCTGTGACACTGATCCTGTTTGAACAAAAAAGTAGGAATCTTGACTTAATTAGCTATAATGTGTGCAAGCAGTCCTCCTCATTTTGCAGTTTTTCCTTTTATTATTAATTTAAATTAATAAAAAAAAATCAATTTTGCAGCTTTTTCCAATCTAATTTTTTTTAAAAAAATCTGTTATTTTTTTTTTAATTTCTCACCTTCTGCAAATGCCCAGAACAGATGGCATTATCTGTAAGTTTAACGTTTCCTCAGTTGCTAAACATTGACCATATCCTGCAAAAGCAGCTATATGCAGCTTTAGCCTTATTTTATTACTTTACGCATGCATAAAACCGAAGTAGCCTTGTAGCATTCCAACCAGAATCTACTTGAATGAAAGGCGGGGTTATAAAACTTTTTCTTTTAAAAAAAGGACTAGCTCAGCATTTGTTGGAAGAAATGGCACAAGGGAATTTATGAAAGGGTATTACAAAATAAGACTCTATCTCAGCCCTTGAAGATGTCATGAATCAACATCCAGAAAGTCCTTCCATTTGTGGAGTTCTCTGGTGCTCTCTGAGCTTGGTGGTTGGCTTGCAGACATTTCATTATCTGACTAGATAACATCATTAGGGCAGTGATGATGTTACCTGATCAGTCTACTGATCAGGGCACTGATCATGTTACGTAGTCAGGTAATGAAACGTCTGCAAGAAAACAACTAAGCTCAGAGAGCACCAAGGAATCCACAGTTCAACCCAGAGCTACAGATATTCTCTTCTATTAGTCCTTCCATTTCCGGAGCTGTAAGATTGATGAACTGTATCTGGCTTCACTCATCACAAATGAAAACAAATGAGTTTTGCTCCACATCACTCTGTTTAGGAGCACTATGGCAAAGAAACGCAAAGTAAGTTGCACTGATCTGCTGCTGCCATTTCTCTCCTCTCTCTCTCAGTAGACTGATGCATGCCAAATCCTTCTACATGAGCATATATGTGAGTACATGACCACAAGAAAGACCTGCCAAGTTTTCTATTTGTCCTGTCCAGTTATGTTATTTTGCAACTCTGGATTTGTTTTACATCTTTACTGAGTTTCTTTAGAGTCAGTGGAAGTGAGTCAGGAGGAGGGAAAAGAATCCCTGCTAGTTGTCTCAGCATTATGCTTCTCCACTGAGATTCTACAGAAAGGTTAAAGGCTCATTTAATTTATGTGATCAGATGTACAGATGAGCTCTTTCGCTGTTACTGTTATTAATCAGGCAAGAAAAAAGCAAACAGTGGCAAAATATGTGCTCTGAGAAAGAGCTACACAGGTTTGTGCGACTTGTTACTGCCCAATACCTTGGTGAAAATAGATTACATACCAACACTTCTTTTACTAGGATCAAGGAATTCCAATGAAAAGGTCTGCCCAAATCCAGGGACTTTGATATCAACCCCATCCGGGGGAGCAGTAGATCCACTAGTTCGATTGTACACTAGCCTGGAGAGAAAAATAAGCATTAATTCAAAGGTGAACAGAATCATATCTGATCATGCATTGCAGTCAGAGCTGCCTATTTTCACCCTTTGTACCAATCTTTCTGCAAGCTTATTAGCTGGTAGCAGTCAACATGGACTTTATGGATCTCCTAAGGGAGTCAAGTGCTCATTTGAGTTCTAATGACCAAAACACTCAGAATGCGTTGAATTTTGTTAAAAAGAACATAGCCAACTCACAATGTTCTAAGTAAGGTGCTTCGTTCTGAGCTGAAAGTAAATCATTTTAAATTAGCCATATCCTACTTAGTAACTACACATTTAGCTATCAAATAAACAAAACGTACATTTTAAATGGACTCTGTGAACTCATTTGTTCATTATCAGTTTTCAGTGTCAGAGCTATTACTGCAGGACAGAGTAAGTCTAGGGAGCAGTGATCAGCTTCCTTTAATAATTTATTGGTCAGTGGAATGTGCCATAAAGCAGGCAAAAAGGGTTAGGACACTGCCAGTCAACTTTAAATACATTAGTTTAACAAAGCAAACTGTTAGTTCACCTTTCCCAGTCAGAAGTGCTGGGTTACAGTTCTCAGAATTCCTAACCAGCAGGGTCAACAGGCAGAAGAGATAGGAATTCTGAGAGTTACAAGTCCAACACATCTAGTTGGCAGAGCCTGAGTTAAGTAGGCTAACTAGGTTAAACTGAATTGCCAGGTCATTTTTCTTAGCCAGTAGTGTTCTCCATTCTTCCTGCTCTATAATCTAGGACAATAGGAACGTTGGCAATGTATCTCCTGAAATCCTACCATTTTAACGGTCTCCTTAATTTGTCTCTTTCTCATGCAACTGATGCAATGAATGACTGTAACTTGGCAATTTTAAGCAGTAAATGAACTGATGCCTTGTCAACAAGAGGTTTATTGACTTGTTTCTACTTTCTGGTTAGGAAAGACAGACTATATGATCTGTAGTGTTTGTTCTTATGAAGAGTGACACATTTCTATGACAACCACGTGGATCATTAACTCACAGCTTACATTCCAACATGCAAATAAGACAGCATTCAGATGCTTAAAAAGCACACTGCAAGGTGAATAACAAGTAAAACTCAAAGCTACTTGACCACTGTCAAGATAAATTGTTTATCCATGTACTGTACTGTCACGAAATTTAAACCTTAAACCTTCTCTATCGTGGTGCCTGTCCTCTAGAACACCATTCTCCCAGGAGATTCATATGGCCCCACACTGGCCCTTTTTAAATGAGCCCTTAAAACTTGGTGCTATCCCCGGGCCCTGGATTAGTGTGGGTGCTGGGTCCTTTGGTATGGTCTTCTCTGTCCCCAGGCCCTGGGTTACTATGGATGATGGATCCCTTGGTATGGTCTTCTGGTCAATGATCGCTTTTTCCAGATTTCAGATGATTTGGGTATGTTATGATATTGCAATATTGTTTTATTTGGTAAACCACCCAGAGTTGTAACAAATCAGGGCAGCCTATAAATTCCATAAATAAATCACCTCAATTGTCAGAGAGCATTTTTCTCTTAATTCATGTTTACTCTTAATTTCTAGCCAGTCTCTTGACTCCCAGCATCTGACTGATTTATATAAACAATAGTGCAGCCCACCTGATATTATCTATCCAGCAGTCAATGATAACTGGAAGCAACAATTCTAAATTCAGCCACAATGTAAAATAACTGTCTGTCTTCTTAGAGCAGAGATAGTGCACCACAGATGGTTTGTCCAACTTGGCTTCTAGCTGGTTTCCCAAATCTCCTGGCACTGTAATTATACAAGACAGGGAGACTTACATGAAATTCCATAAATTTCTCTCAAAGATTGCTTTAGCTGCTTGGGAATACATTACATTTCTTTTCTTTTTTTTTTCCTACCAAACATGAATCCCCTTTTGGTCTCAGTGGGCACCTCAGAAATGTTGAAAGCTGCTGGGGATGCCTCTCACAAAGCAAATCAGCAAGGTGGATCCCCAGCAAGATCTCTAGAATCTCATCTTAGCTTCTTCTTCTTCTTTTCCTTCCTGATCAGGTGGCACATTTAACAAGCAAAGAACTGGACCAGCAACCATCTCCCATGTTTATTTCCTGAGCATGTCTGTGGATCTCATGGGGCTCAAAGGTTTCCAGTAGGCAAAGGTCAATGATGCTTTGTTTGCACATGCCAGATTCCCATTTAATCTACAGAACAGGAGCTAAAGTGCTGGTGAGATCACATCCTCTGCCAGCAAAGCAGTTCTGCTAGGATTTTAACAAAAATGTAATGGAGGTACTAAATAGTTCGTACTCTACGTAAAATGAAAAACTCCTGTCGTGGCCTTGCAAAGTTTCCCACAGATACAGTTAAGGCAGTAATTTCCTAAACAACTTCTTGGTAGTCATTTGGAGGAAAATATCTCCCTTGACAAACACAAAAAAGTATCTTGAATTGGAACTTGGTTTTTTAAAACTCATACCACACTCATGAAAATCAGCTTTTGTCTAGAGCAAAGTATGACCTGTTATTGTCATTTAGTTTGCTTTTTTAAATTAGGCAAAATTAGAAAATTAAGGTAAGATCCCTGTATTTGATTGGTGCTTTATATAAAGGCCATAGCATCTCTCTCTCTCTCTCTCTCTCTCAGTGGATTATTCATTCAATATCGATGTGGGAAGAAAGTTCATTTATATTGGATTTTGCTGTCAATAAAACACTAACAGAAAATCATTCAGTGTATTCTGTGCGCTACTGGAAAAGAACATCAGCAAAAGTCCTGCAAGTAGCTTGGAATTCTTCTAAATATATTGTAAATGGCACTGTATAGGATTACCAATAAAACAGTTAAAGGAGATAGACAGACAGACACAGAGACCAAAAAAACCCCATAGGAAAATCCTCTGCCTCATGACTGTTCTATGAAAATGAGATAAGTATATACCAGGAGTGCACAAAACATTTTGAATTTGAAACAGTTCTTTTCATTTGAAGGGGGTTATTCCAAATATATAACCATACTAGAACTGTTTCAAGCTTTAAACTATTTTGAAACATTCCCAGAAGAGTCAGAACACTTCTAGTAAGGTCACAACCCAGTTTCAGACTGAATATTTTTGAATTACAAAAGTTTGCGCACCCCGTTATACGACACTACTACCTTGAGTGAATAGGCTTTTAGAATGTTATGGTAATTTTTCTTTTCCAGAAACTCAAAGTTACCCTGTTTAACTGTTACATTCCTAGGCAGCATTCTAAAATCAGGATTCAGGCAGCCGTTTCAAAGGTTCTAACCGAGGTTGACAACTAATTTGCTTTTGAAATACGTTAAGCCTAATCTAGGAAGATTTTCAGCAACTGCACTGTCAACATCCTGCAGCATGCATTTATTATTTCCCATCTTGTCTGATATATTTGATTTTTGGATTTCTTGGAATAAGGCGTCCTAATGAATGGACAATGACATTAATTCCCATTCATCCATCTTGTTTAAACAGAGCATAAATATCTTGCTCTTCATTCAAAACTTTTAGTCCTTTAGGGAATGTTGTCCACCTCAATCGCTCTTCTTAAATTTGGGGTTATCTACCAGGATAGAATTCTGGGAATCAGGTTCTAGGATTCAGATTCACTTCACAATGAATCCTGGAGCTTTAGCTCAAAGTAGGAGCACATACTTTGCAGGAAGACCATCCTAGATTCAGTTTTTGGCATCCAGGTAAGAGAGGGTCTTCAGTCTGAAATCCTAGAAAACCCTAGGCAGTCAGTGCAGAGAATATTAATAAGATTACTTTACTTCTCCTTGAATTAATTTGCAACATAGAACAACGTTCTACGTGCTTCTAAAATGGAATTATAGGTAGTCCTCACTTAACAACCATTTGTTTAATGACAGCTCAAAGTTACGACAGCCTCGGAAAAAGCGCTTTACGACCTGTACTCACACTGACAATCATCGCACCACCCCCATGGTCATCTGATTGCAATTTGCAACTTTTTAACAACGGTTGTTAAGCATATCACCACAGTTGTTAAGCAAATCATGTGGTTAAGTGAATCACATAGTTAAGCGAATTCTGGCAAAAATATCAATTGGGGAAACCAGATTTACTTAATGACCATGTGATTCTCTTAATGACCATCATAAAATTGGGCTCGGTCACATAGTGACTCACTTAACCACCACCCTGCTTAACAACCAATGTTCTGGTCCCTGTTGTGGTCATTAAGTGAGGACTACCTATAAGCTTTTAAAAAACAATTCACTACAATTCACAATCCCCACTAGTCAGGGGATTCCAAGCTTTTTCAGACTGTGAAACCCATTAGTCAAAAAAAATTCCCAGAATCCTGATCAAGAGGCCAAACTCCAGTAGTAGAAAATGTGCTCTGTTCAAGTGAACTCCTGTTCCCCTCTAACCAAGCAGTTTGAAAAACCCTACTCTGAGTGATTGGGATAGCAACATCATCCCCAGATAACATACTAACAGCAGGAGAATATGGGAGATGTGATCCAAAATATCTGGAAGGCCTCAAATTGCAGCACCAAGAACAGATTTCTATTTACCACAAAGAATAAATATCATACTGCAGGTAATACAGCTGTGTTTAGAACTGTCTCTGCCAGTACCATATTTTTCCAACAATAAGACGCCCCCATGTACAAGACGACCCCCACTTTTCCAACC